AAAAAAAAACAAATAAAAATGTAGTCAATGATTGCTGATATTATTAAAGTAGGTATTTATTTTCTTATTGTAATTGAATCTAATATTAAGCATAAACAATACATACATGTATGTATAAAGACTTATTAATGTAAATAATATACATACATATGGTGGTGAGAATTTTCTGAAAATAAACCATAAATCAGAAACAGTCGTGAGGTAGTGCTAACTTACGTGCACTGCTTCCTAACTGGATACTGGGAATGTAATTGTTTTTATACCCGAGCGCACTTGTGCACAAGGGTATATTAATTTTGTTCACATAACGGTTGTTTGTAACAGCCAAAACGAATCGATATAGATATAGACAAATGTATACATAAATGATCAGGATGAAAAAAAAATCGATTAAGCCATGTCTGTCTGTCCGTCCGTCTGTCCGTCTGTCCGTCCGTCCGTGTACACGATAACTCGAGCAAAAATTGAGATATCTCAACGAAATTTGGTATGTAGGTTTCCCTTAATACAAGGTAGATTGGTACTGAAAATGGGCGAAATCGGACTTTAACCACGTCCACTTCCCATATAACGGTAATTTCCAAAAATACGAAAACTGCGATGTTTTAGTAACTACTGGAGATTATTCACCCAAAATTGATATTTATAATAAGATTTGGACGAAAAATAAGAATATTATAAATTTTTGGAAAATGGGTGTAGCCCACTTATGGTTACATATGTATATCTTGGTAACCACTGCACCAATTTATTCCAAACTTGGCACAGTTGTTGGCCTTTGCACAACATAGCAAATGGCCGAAAAGTTTTGAAATCGCTCAATAACCACGCCTACTTCCCATATAACGGTAATTTTCAGAAATACGAAAACTGCGATATTTTAGTAACTACTGGAGATTATTCACTCAAAATTGATATTTGCAATAATTTTTAGACGAAAAATAAGAATATTATAAATTTTTGGAAAATGGGCGTAGCCACGCCCACTTATGGTTACTTGTGTATATCTTGGTAACCGCTGCACCAATTTCTTCCAAACTTGGCACAGTCGTTGGCCTTGGTACAGCAAAAAAAATCGCCGAAACTTTTTAAAATCGGACAATAACCACGCCCACATCCCATATAACGGTAATTTAGAGAAATACAAAATCTTCGATAAATCAGTAAATATTGAAGCTAACTTATTCAAGATTGATGCTTGCACCAATTCTTTACCAAGAAATACGTTTATGGTAAAATCTTGGAAAATGGGCATGGCACCGCCCACTTATGATCACATATATGTATATCGGTAACCGTTCTACCAATTTGTACCAAACTCGGTGTGGTTATTGTGCTTGCCACATATAAGCAAAACTTTGAAAATGACTGAAATCGGACTAAAATAACGGCCACTTCTCATATAACGGTACATTTCAGAAATGCTTGAAACTGCAATATTTCGAAATTGAAGGACGATAATTTACTCAAAATTGATACACCCCGGCTTACCATCTAGCGGAAGGTTTCGGAAAGGTGAAAAAACATATATTTAATACTTGCGCCGGGTATTTAATGTTCGGCTCCGCCCGAACTTAGACTTTCTTACTTGTTTTTTTTTTTAGATTTGTATGATCCCAGGATTTTCGGAATATCGTTGTTCCCGGTATCTTGGGATTAGTATTTAGGTATTCATAATATTTTAACAACCAAACTCTCCTACCATATACATAATTAATAGGGCAACCAAAAATAATCCGTAAAACATGATTTTAAGCGCTTAAAATATGCACGAAAATATAAGAAATATGCATAAATATGCACGAATAGAACCAAAAACATGCTTAAAATATGCATTTAAAAAAATTAATAGGTCAATTTTTCTTGTGTAAAAATCTATTGAATTTTATTCAAAAATGTACAAAAACACTGGTAAAATTAAAATATTACACATTCAGAGCGTATTCACTTAAAAATGTAACTTAAATATTTTGGTTGCATTAAATAACAAAATATTCGGAAAAATTTTCAGAAAGAAATTATTGCCTGTTATCGCAGAATACATTCTTAAATATAGAAAGGCACGAGCTTAAAGGCGGAAATTTAAGTCACTGTATATTTTTCAATCGGAGAATTGAATTACCGCCTTCAATTTGGCATACAATATTTTCTAACACAACAAAGCCCTGTTTTTTTGCTTAAAACTGATTTTAGCTTATTGCCCACAGTTGAAAAATTTACAGCGTTTAATTTTTCTTCAGCTCTCTTAACAGTATCCTATATGTGCCGATAAGGTCAATGCTGTTGCTTCTAGTGGCAAAAAACTGTATTCAAATAATAAGCACAAATCCAAATAAAAATTGTTATGAAGTTAATGCAACATTCTAATGGTAACCTCGCATAAGTGCTCGCAATGTTGACCTCAGAAATTCCTCAAAAGCTAGAGATTTCCTCTCGATGCAATATCCAATAGATCAAAATGCAGCATTTATAAGGAAAATATTTATCTTTTCTGATTTCAATTCTTTGAGAACAGAAATCCTCAAAAAATGTACCATCCAGAGAATTTTTCTATCAATTGGCAAAGGCCCTATGATTAAAAAAAATAAAAATTTTTTGAACATGCACAAAATTAAGAAATGCAATTATTCCGAAATATTCTCTAACAAATATGGCTAAAACGTTTTATCTTTATACAATTAGCATTTCCTTTTTATGCGTTTTGTGATAAAGTATACATATGAAAAAAACATTTTCGAGCATATTTTTGGTTGCCCTAATAATAAATAAAAAATAAATGGGTTTGAAACTTACTTTTTTTTAGAGTAAAAATTATTTCATTAGTAACAAAACAAAAGATAGTAATTAAATTTATATGCACTTAACAATACTTTAGCGTGTACATATCAGATAAAGTAGCTTAAGGTACCAATATACAGTGTCATCCATTTATAATGGACTCGTTTAAGATGGAAACTATGTTATT